GTAACTTTTTCCCATGCAGTACAAATTATTGAAAAATTCTACTTGATACTTTTCTCGACATAATGTTGGCTCGTCAGTAGCACCCAGACAATTGATCTTACCGTCATTTGCTTAGTTAACAGGAAGACAAATAAGTTCATTTGTATGAGGTGAAACACATTTGTGGTAATCTAAAGAACAGTTTAGTGTTGAAGATAGATCACAACCAATTTCATCTTCATCATGTGGACAATTCTATAAACCATCACAATTAGTATAAATGTTCTTACATGATCATTGTTCACATTCTGTTTCATTTTGTTCTTCGATAGTTAGCGAAATCAGTTCAGTAAATCCATCACAAATAGTTTGAAATGAAATATTCTTTCTGACATAGTGTATATGAAAATCTTCATCTTCACACCAATGTTGGTCTTCAAGTTCACATTGACAGACTCCATTTCTAACAAGTGATTGATGTATGTATTTATAAGCTAATTCACATTAGAAGTGATGTTTTAAAAGTTCTGTTAAATTAGCGTAAATGATTTGTGTTATATTTTCGTTATCTTTGTCAGGATAATCCTCTCTATTGTGCATGGGTCGATTCACTAGAATTTTTGACAAATTAAAACACTGGTACATGTTTGATCTATTACAAATCGCAGAATTATAATTAGTAATTAAGTTAAATCTCTTCAAATCTTGGAATAGCTTGAATAAAGGTGGTTCATATCTATCCTCCCATTTAGTGGACGAAACCATGAGAAAGTCTAGTATATCAGCATGAAAACATGTTTTATTTTTGAATAAGAGCTTTGGACGATCAATAAAATATTTATCATAGTAAGAATTGTTATAGCTTATGTAAGGTAGTACAGAATTGCTATCGATCAAATATAATGAGTCATCTTTTATGTGTGTGAAGTAAATGAGACCAAAAAAAAGAGGAATATTCGAAATGTAAAACATATCTGGACATGTGTTGTTAATGATTTCTATACATGTTGGTTTTTCACAAATTCCAGTACACAATGGCTCTTCTGAATCTGGTACTTCTAACAAGCATTTGAAAGCTGACCAACATTGTTCAGATATCGAAATGTCTTTAGTAGAATGGATCGCTTTCAAAAGTCAACTTTTGCGTTGGTATACACAAGAACTTGTCACGAATGTATACTAACATATCTTTTCTTCACATTCCAATGATGCTATACCTCTATTACAGTTGTAACTATGTTCATGGCTCATTGAAATTTCGTCAGAACCATCAAGACAATCAGAAGTGCTACGAGACCATCTCGAAAAAATGGCTGTAGCATACATTGTCCATTAGTACATCGATATTCATTATCATTACATTCATTCATTTCAAGTTGTCAACAATGTTCTTCATCAAATTCACTATCAAGACAATCATCCTGTCCATTAAAAATTTCACTCCAATCTAAACATGCTGGAAAAGGACCACGATTACATTGTAAATGAGTGTAACAGGTAAACTTAGTAGAATTATATTCATATGTACGATAATAATCATGAATAATTTCATCTAAAGATGAATGATTTCGATGATAATAAGTAATTTCATATTGACACAGAACCAAATCTTGTTAATGTACAATTATAGAAAACTTGTCTTTCTAAAGATCAATCATTTGATGTTGATAATTGGTTTAAATAGAATTAATAACGTTCAACAACATCTATTGGTGCTGACCAAAGATATAATTATTGCCTAGTAGTATTCCATGTCGAAAGTTCAGCAAAAGTAAACTTTGGAAAGAAGTCGTTATTCTCGATATTGAAATTTCAATGGCAATTCATTCATATAATAAGATATAATTTCACGATTAACATTGGATTCATCAATAGAAGCAACAACATGCAAACAATCGTGTTGTAATATATTATGATTCTTACTTTCACTTATCCAATCTATATAGTGAAGATTAATATGAGGTATAGCAACAATCAAGTTTAAGAGAATGAAATTGAATAAATATCTTGTATGATACATTATCTACTTATAATGCATTGACAAATAAATACATTAATGACTATTTATAAAGTTTCTATGTAGGTGATCTTTTTTTTTATAAATATCATTAGGAACTATTGACATTATTACAGTTCATGCTAAACTATAAATAATAGCATTGGTTCCTGCTTGATTGATGTAGTTTTTATATAGTTGCTAATAAAAAATGTGAATTCAACAGCTTATCCTCTTACTGATAGGTTTCTCGATTATATCAAGCTTAAAGTTTTGAATGAAATAAGCTCACATAAAATATATGTAAGGATAAAAATAAACGATTTTCAATAATTTTCATTTAATAAAACAATTATTCAACGAGTATCATTCTTATTCATTACATACCACAGTAGTAGGTAAATAATCAATTCAAAATGAAATTAAAGATAGTAGTTTATGTCTTTTTTTCGAACTCAGAGCTTAAAAGATATATGACGTATTTTAACATAAAATATCATTTGTTTGATGATAAATTTAGAATTAGAGAATCAAAGTAATGTTAATATATCAATATTAATTCTTTAATTTATTAACTGATAAACAGATGTGTGTGTTAATGCGTTTACGGACAATAATGCAGACAGCAACTAACTTTATAGTAATTTTTTTAGTGTCTGTGATGGTAGTGAAACACATTCAATTTTTCTTTGTCGTTTTGGTTTGGCGCGGCCAGAAGTTTTCGACGATTCTTCTTAAAATATTCTTAGTTTCGAAAGATTTCAATGTGCATCGGTATCAATGAGACACACTCAAATCATGAGATTTCCTTTAAAAAAATTTGGGTATATGAATTACATATTATTTTTGTAGATCCACACCAGGTCACTCGAAGAAGCTCTAGCTCAAACTTGGCAAGGACCCATTGAAACAATATTGGGTGTGGATTTCTGTCTAATTGAAGACAAGATCATACTAACATATAGGATGTCGAAGTCAAACATCAGCTTGTCAGGCTCTTGATACAAATAGATAGCAATAATCAAATGAATTTATGGTAAATTGTGATCATTAATTCTTGATAGATACATGTCTCTTTTTAAGAGGACTTTCTTTTCTGATCTGAAAGTCAATTTGTTTCCGTTTTTTTTGGTTTTTTCATCTCTCTAAATATGTTGAGTTGTTCTCTTTTTGATTAGCCGAAAACAATGTGAGTTCAGGTGTGATGTCTGAGTGTTGGTGGGGAGTGTGTGTGGATGAACTTTTTAATCTACAGAAACTCACACCCACCTCTATCCTTAGTTTATTCATTCATTTAAATGTCAGGGATTGTTTCGTTTTAGTAAAGGATATAGTCTGAAATAAAAATTGTATTTGTTATTTTCCTTGTCTGTCGTTGATTACCACTTCAAATTCCAATGTTTTTTTTTTATCATTGTCACATAAAAGAATTTATTTTAACAATTTTTGGAACAAGAAGAAATGTACGAAGTTGACTTCATATTATAATAGAATTACATTTTAAACGAAAGTGGAAAAATGAAGTTTTGAAGAATTTCAAATTATTTTTGTAACAGTACCAGAACACTTGACATGGATGTTAAACTCATGTTACAATAATATTTTAGTACATAACAACTTATTTTAATTCAAAAAAAAAATAACTCCTACCAAATTATTAACTTTCTTAAGTTTCTAGTTTACAATCTTTCTCTACATTAATTTCTATCAATCTTATTATCTTCAAAAAATGTATTGATGATTTTCTTTTCTTTGCAAATGTTCAATATTCTTCTATCAATTTCAATGAAACAACAATAGATTATTTCTATTAAAATAAGATTTACATACCTTCGCTATTTTCATTATTAACAAAGACTCAGTAACATTTAATGTTTTTCTTTTCAAAAACGATCAATCATGTTAAATATTGTTATTAAATAAAATCTATACTTTTTTGATGATAATCTCTGATATAAATTAAACAGTTTTATTTGAAATATATATGCTTTTAGGTCACTTTTTTAAAGTGTTATGTACATATCTTTATTTTCTTTAATATGAATTTTAATAATGATTGACAAATAAAACATCACTGGTATTAAATGTCTGACAGAAGGACTGCTACTGATTTGTGTCAATTATTTGATCAACTTCATCTAATATTAGTGTCATTTCAGTATGTTCAATAATTGAATCAATATTATTAACATACAATGGCAGAGATTGAGCGTGAACTACAAAAATAGTCATAGACGAAAGCCAAAGAGTTATATTAAGAAATCGTTTCACAGCATCGTAGTAACTATATTTATAGAGAAGATATTTCCATGCTATTTCTGCATACTTATTTTGAATCTCTAAAATATCAATAGGATTTGTTAACTCGTTTGAGGTATTTGAATAATAACAACTAGTATTTTCAGAAAAAGCAAACAATGAAATTGACAGTTTAACCAATACAATATCTGGATCAATGAATTTCTTTGCCCAAGCATCAGTATCTACTGCAGGTTTTCCAAACTTTATGGTTAATGCGTTCAAGAAAGCATTGAGAAGATTTAATCGACAATGTAGCACAATGAATGCACCACCCATGCAGCACACATTGTTAGCAGCACTACGAAGTATTATGTAACGATTATCAGATGATAATTTACGAAGATCATCATTGGAACAAAGATATATCTCTGTTGTTTTGTAAATAGATGCTAAGAATTCATCTACAAGTGCTTGATAAATCATATAATTAGATTGTGCAATATCGTGTGCATCTATCAAACGTTGACTGAACGGTAAAATATGAGACTCTTGATAACAATTGAAT